CGCCCACCCTGAGCCATGGTTCTGCTCCAGGTTTCTGCCTGTTAAAAGGAAGTTTTTCCTTGCCTGTGTCGCCTAGTGCTTGCTCATGGTGGGAATTGTTGGGTTTCTGTAGTTAACTTCAGAGTAGGGTCTGACCTGCTCTGTTTGGAAAGCGCTGTGAGACAACTGTTGTTGTGATGTGACGCTATATAAATAAAATTTAATTGAATTTAATTGAATTGACGCCCGGCAGAGCTCTACCTGGGCCGCTCCGGTCTGGGGCTCAGCTCGAGGTACTCGGCGGCCTCCTGGGAGGTCAGCGTACTGCTCTGTTCGGTGGTCAGGGAGGCGGGGTAGGAGCTGGTGGACGGGTGGCGGTGGGGGGGGCTGCTGGGTCCCGGCTGGGACCCGAGGGAGCCCGTGTCCTCCGTCAGCTTTGTGGAACGACTGGAACTGGAGCAGATGTGAAAACACGCGTTTCCCTTTAAAAACTGCAGCTCTTTGCGGACTCCGGATCAACTACCCTTTCGTGTCTCTGGTTGAATACATTAGAAAACTAGGCTTGTCCCGATCTGATATTTGGATCTGATCGGTCGGCAGGAGAAAATGCAGATGCAGACTCCCGATCCAGTTTTATTTTTTTAAGTCCGATCCCACACAAACATTAGCATTAGCATCTGCTAACCCACAGGTCTGTGTCCTAACCAATAAGTTGTTATCAGAGTAACTCTCTGTTCAACATGAGTCTGATAACTAAGTAAGTAGATAAATAACTTTAAACTTTAGTACATGCTCTGATAGGCCGAGATCGGTTTTGGATCGAAAGTGCAAAAAGCTTGGTAGGGACATCCCTACAGACAACCAAAGAACAGTGGTTCTACTCTACTGTTCAATCCACCTTCTGATTTTGGGCATTTTACAGTCCACTGAATTACTCTGCACTGAGGCAGTTTGGTGGGAGCTCTCAGCTACAGAACGGGACTTTGCTTACCCTTCGTCTGAGGAGAAGCTGTGTCCGTCTGTGGGCTCCTCTGTGGGAACTGGAGGAGGCGGAGGCAGCATGTCCATAAAGTGTAGGGAG